CATTAGGATTGGCTACATTAGGGGTGTGTGGCCTAACATGCAAAGGAGTTCCTGCAGCAACAAAAAGCCCTGGGTTTTGACAACAAACAAGGTAAACAGAATAAGAAGCAAAAGGTGGGTGTGGCTGGATGACCACACTTCTGGTAACATGGGAATGCGGCCTAATATGCTACTGAGTGGTGCCATCAGGGGTGTGGCCTAATATGCTAATGCGTTCCTGCTGCCGGGTGTGGCCTATTATGTTAATGAGTTCCTGCTGGACTTTTTCTACAAAAAAAGCCGTGCTTCTACAACAGATTATTGCAGAAGGAGCTGCCTTAAAGGGAGTCAGTTCAGTGCTCCATCTCACCCAGGAGTGATTGGTAGCAGTTTTCCAAGGCCAGATCCTTCCTGTTCTTGGTGTAGTGTAGTGGTGGACTCTAATCCGGAGAACTGGGAAAAAAAATCTTCCACATAAAGCCAGCTGGGTGACCTTGGGTCAGGCACAGTTCTCTCAGAACTCTCTCAGCCCCACCTTCCTCACAGGGTGTCTGTTGTGGGGAGAGGACGGGAACTGCTCCAAGACTCCTTCAGGTAGTGAAGAGCAGGGTATAAAACCGACTCTTCTGCTGCTGCTGTTGGGATGCACATCTTGGCCAGGCTTCCTGCGTATTCATGTTAAGAAGGATGGCAGAGATGTTGGACTAAAACCTTGCCCTTCCTTAACATATAGACAGCTACGGCCTTCGTACAGAAGGTCACTGTAGTGACCATGGAATCTAACTTGGGGCTGCAGCCCATCTCTTGGGGCCTGTCAGTTTCCTGCTTCCTTATTGGTTGACGACCCGTTGAGTTCAAAAGAAGTGAGGACTGTGTCTGCAACACAAGTGTGTGATAAATGATATGTTCACTTAGCTTAGAATTTTCTTTTTCCTGTGACACTCCTTTCTGCTCTAGAATCCTAGCCCGGGACTGTACGAATTCAAATGGCCGCTCCCGTATTCCGAAAGCAGTATTGACTATCACCTTTGCCCTCACCCAAAATACGCACTTACCAGGAAATACCCAATAAAGTCCAGTGTTCTGACTACACAAAAGAAATTTCTCCATCCCAAGGTAAGAGCTGCTGAAGTCCACGATGTCACCGGGGCCTGAACAACTGAAAGCGTCTCTCTTCGGACCAGCAAAAATGGTCAGCAGCTTATTTTGATGGGTGTGGCTGCTGTCATTTCAGGAAGTCATCAGTGGCGTGACGAACTGGAGAAAATTCCCACCGGTTATTCATTCAACCTTGCCCAACGTTCCTGCTCTGAACAGCACAGTGATACTGTTTTGGTAAGAAAGAAAGGTCGTGTTGGTCAGAGCAAAGATCTGCATGGACATCAGTCTGGGAGTGGCTGGCTTCCGGGCAGGGAGCTGAAGAACCTTCATGAGACGTTTCTGGCTGTTAGCAAGCGACTTCCCTCAGAGTTATCCAGTGAGATACCTAAACTATGAGTTTAAAGCCAGGTTTGGTCATTTATTCTAGCTGATTAATTGGCTTAATGATTTAGGCACGTGGCATCAGGACTGTGTTTTGCCGGTCAGGATGGCTGTACCCCACTCTCCAGCTAGCTCAGAGAGCCAGTGGGATAGCAGAGTAGGACAGGGAAAACCCATGTTCAGCTCACTGGAGGACCCGGAGCCAGTCAGAGTTGTTGTGAGGATAAAATGGAGGGGGGCACACAACACTATCTGCCCCATCTGAAGCTCCCTGGAGAAAGGATGAGATTAAAACAATGTGATAGGCCGAGGCGAGGGAAGAGGGAGAATGTGTTTGTTTTTAACAATATAGTTTATTATTTTTCTGTATAAATCCTTTGATCATAAAACATACATATATAGTCGCAAAGATCTTCGTAAAACTTACAAGACGTTTCTGATTTTGACCCAATTAAATTGTATAATGCCAAATAACCACATTTGTTAAACTAAATTACCGGATTCGTTAAACTAAAGCAAAATTAGATACTTATAACCAGTTATAGAAGTTAGACCAATAATGTTCATACCTTTCCAGACTTTTTTCTTCAACAATGAAAGTTAAATTTTCCCACTTCTGCAATGTCAAACAGTTTACAAATAAATTCTTCTTTTGTTGGAACCAGAGGTCATTTCGGGGGGGATCGCGGGGGATCGCAGTTCCCCCGGGTGAGGTACAGGGGGGCGGGGCACATGACGAAGCCCCGCCCCTTGCTTCCAGCCCTCATTCAGCCAGGAGGAGGCAGGAGAAGAGGGAGGGTAAGTTGCTTCCTCCCTGCCTCTCCCCACCCCTGCCTGCCTGGGGCCAGGGGGGGCCTTCGTGGGGTTTCCTTGTACTCCCGCCGGCCTTGCAGGTCCACCGCCAGGCCCCTCATGGGGCTCGGCAGTGGAGCTGCAAGGCCGGTGGCGGCGGCCAGGACTGTTGGGGGCGGGGTGTGTGGCCTTATGACACACTTCCGGTGATGTCAGGGGGTGTGGCATATGCTAATGAGTTCCCCTAGCTCTTTTTCTACGAAACGACCCCTGGTTGGAACGTTCCTATCTTTCCATTTTTTTGCAAAAATAATTCTAGCTGCTGTTAACATTTGCATTATTAAATACATCTCTTTTTTCTTAAATGTCTCTGGTGTAACATTCAACAGGAAAAATTCAGGTAGAAAAGGGATTTTCTAGGGAAGAGGGAGATTGTTGATCAGCAGCTCAAAGAAGAGCTTGGCTGAGCAGAATGAAGCCACTTCTCGTCAGATTGTGCTGAAAGCTGATTGGACTGACTCAGATACTTGGGACAAAGGGTTGTCAGCACCACTTGCTGCACTTTATAAAATTTCACTCTTAGATGGAGGCTAAAACACAGAAGGATGCACGGTGGGTGTTGGGAAGGTAACAGAAGAGGCGTGTTATCTTTGCTCTTGTTTTGCGATTTCTTGTTTAAAAAATGAATAATGGTTTTAAGAAAAAATGCTGACATCATATAAATACAAAGTCCTTTATGCCACGTTGCTTGCATGTTTGTGTATTGGGTGATTTTAAGCTAATCAAAAGCAAAGGAAGGTACAATAGAGACAACACTACAGATACGTAAGTGCCGCTTATCATATTCTCTGCTTGACCCTGTGTCACGGTTGCCTTTCTCACAGCACTGATCCTTACAACGCAGACATGCTTCCCAAAGATGTGCCTCCCATTGTGGCTGACTTACCAGAGCAAGATAAAGAAAACATCATGGACGAGTAAGTTTGTTTTCTAGGGTTTGTTCACAATAAGTTATTGCGTTTTGGTTACACGCAATCAACACGTATTGGATGAAGTTAAACAAGATAAGTATATAGAAGCTATAAAAAGGGAAGACAATAATTTAGAATAGGTTTTATATGTGGATGAAATAAGGAAAGGATTAGCAGGGAAAATTTACCTTGAATTGGTGAAAGATAAGGAGTTTATACTAAAAACCTTAAAAAATAAATGGAATAAAGAAAAACAAATAACTTCTGACGACGTTAATAAGTTAATGGTGAATTTCAAGAGAATTAAATTAGAAAAGTATAGAGAGCTTGAAAGAAAGATAATTTGGAAATGGTATAGAACCCCTGCCCAATTGGCATATATGATTGAAGGCATGAAACCGACTGGCACTGCAACGCAAAAGAAGGGTGGTATTCTCACCTATGGTGGGAATGTCCAAAGGTTAGAGATTTTTGGGGAAAGATAGTAGGGTTATGTAAGGTGGATATTAAAATAGATAGAGATCTATTATTTATGGGCATACTGGGAAACTATAATATTGAGAGATAAAATCAGGATGTTTTTAAAGCAATGTTACTAGCAGCGCATGCTGTGATTGCATATGGTTGGAAGGAGAGTTTGAAGTGGTCTTTAGATAGATGGAATGACTATTTATACTAATATATCCAGTCAGATATATTGGAATGTATTAAACAAGATAAGGCATGGGATGGAAAGATGAAGGAGATAAAAAAGAAATGGTCTATATACTTTCAATGGGTAAATAATGGAGAAGCCAATTCCGTTATACTTGAAAAAATGTGCTCATGGTTAAAAATTTAATTTGTAGCTATGTGATGGCCACCTTGTGGGGGGTGGGATATAAAAGGGGGGGGATGTATCATAAGAGAATTGGGATTGTATTGCAATGTAATAATAATTTATGATGCAAATAAAAAAAATAAAAAAACACGTATTGGATGAAGTAAGCTTTGACTCATGAAAATGTATACCTTGGAAAAACATGGTTGGTCTTTAAGGTGCTAATGGATTCCGTGTTTGTTCTGTAACTACAGACGAGCCCAGCTGCTCTCACAATACAATCACACGTGTATGCGAAGGTTGAAACGCATGCCGGATTGTTTTTGCTTTGCCCAGCGGTCACTTGTGTCTGGGAGGAGATAGCTGGCAATTAATTTGCATTGTCATTTCCTTTAAAAGCATCAAAATTAAGTGGATGTGGATTTATTGGCTTGCAGAGATACAGGTTGGGAGGCTGCTGTGTTACTTGCACCAGAGATGATAAAAGCTGAATTTCCACAGACTGACCACTCAACCAACGATAAAAATAAAACGCAAAAAGAGGGAAGGTAAGAGAAAACGTTCAGAAGACAGGCAAGAAACGTGTGCTCTGACTTCTAAATGCTGCTCACAGATTGTGTACTGGCCCCAGCCTCTATGGCAGCCCATCCTCCTCCGTCTTGAGTGTTGCAAATGGTCAACTTTAGCATCCCACGAATGATTTAAATAGAGGACACTGTCTTTAATCCATAACCATTATGAGCATTGTAATTGTGACAAAGGAACAACTGGGATCCAAATGTGAAAACTTAGTGGACAGCCTGTTGGCAGGGAAGGCAAGATTTCAAGTTGCACAGAATTATTCTGCTTGAAAAAGGAGTCTGTGCACTTTGAAACCTTGCTCCGGTTACTGTAATAAAGTAGTTGAATTGCCAATGGAAACTGAGTTACTGTACGTGCCTTTAACTACGATCTTATGTTCTTACAGCCAAGCCATATGTTTGCAATGCTGTTGATGAATCAGCAAAGCTAATGGTGGGAATGATCTCTGAGAGTATGTTTCCTTGGCACTGAGTTGTTCAGTATGTAGGATTATCAGTGCAGTTACATGCTTCTTGCAGGGCTATTTTTGGGCAGGAACGCACAGGAATGGAGTTCCGGCTGGCTTCCAAGTTGGCCACGCCTAGCAGGAACTCATTAGCATAATAGGCCACACCCAACAGCAGGAACTCATTAGGATTGGCTACATTAGGGGTGTGTGACCTAACATGCAAAGGAGTTCCTGCTACAAAAAAGCCCTGGGTTTTGACAACAAACAAGGTAAGCAGAATAAGAAGCAAAAGGTGGGTGTGGCTGGATGAGCACACTTCTGGTAGCATGGGGGTGTGGCCTAATATGCCAATGAGCTGTGCTGTCATGGGTGTGGCCTAATATGCTAATGAGTTTCTGCTGGGCTTTATCTACAAAAAGAGCCCTGCTTAGTCCATTGACTTCAGTGGACTTAGAAGAGTATAGCTCTGTTTAGGACCGTGCTGTTTGAAATCTGTGTATACTTGCAAGTCCTGTTGAAATCAAACGGACTGTGCCTCAGTCTGGGTAGGACAGGGCTGCTAGTAATTAAGAATTACTTTCTCTTTCTAGTGACACAAATGCAGACTTGAAGCCTCCTTCCTGCACATCTCTGGATATTTTTGCACCTGTTTCCAGGTAAGTGATTATGTGACTTGAAAATAGCATTGATAGCGATTTGTGCTTTGCAGTTATCTTTACTCACATTGCAATGCTAAACTGAAGGACTGGCCTTGGAAGGGTACAACTCTGTTCAGGATTGCGCTGTCAGAGTTCCCATTTATTTGTGCTTTATGGTAGGAATTAATGATGGCCATAGAATCAGAGGATACGGAAAACAAGGAGGGACCTAAAAGTGACCTACTCCTACCTTTTTAAATGGTTCAAGCCCATTAGGTCCAAAGTATAAAAATAGACAAGTATATATAAAATCAGAGATCTAGACTGTATGGCTATTCCCATTCTGTACCCTGTGTATTGGAGGAAGGGAATCGGTGGAAGTAAAGTAATGCTACCCATTTAGGTCATGTCCAGGGCTATTTTGGGGCAGGAGCGCACAGGAACGGAGTTCCGGCTGGCTCCCAAGTTGGCCACGCCCAGCAGGAACTCATTAGCATAATAGGCCACACCCAACAGAAACTCATTAGGATTGGCTACATTAAGGGTGTGTGGCCTAACATGCAAAGGAGTTCCTGATACAAAAAAGCCCTGGGTTTTGACAACAAACAAGGTAAACAGAATAAGAAGCAAAAGGTGTGTGTGGCTGGATGACCACACTTCTGGTAACATGGGGTTGCGGCCTAATGTGCTAATGAGCTGTGCTGTCAGGGGTGTGGCCCAATATGCTAATGAGTTCCTGCTGTTGGGTGTGGCCTATTATGCTAATGAGTTCCTGCTGGGCTTTTTCTACAAAAAGAGCCCTGGCTCATGTCCATTTATCTGAAGAGGCCCTGCTTATTTAAAGAGGACCCTCTTTCCTCGGGCTGATCCCAGAAACAAGTGCTGAACTTTTTCCTTTATCCTTTTGCAGAGATGTGAGAGATACTCTGGAGTGGTATTTTCAAGTTCAGAATGATTTATATGGTCAAAGGATGAGAGAAAACCTGGAGAAACTGAAAGAAAAAGCCACTCAGAAAAACCTAATTCTGGATTAAGTGCCGTCTCTCTTCTGTGAAGGTTTACGTGTGTCACCCAAATGTTCTATATTTTGTGTAGCCTGGCCGTGGGGGGGGGGGCGGCATTATAGGAGAATCTTGTGGGAAGGAGGATATGCAGTTGGAACGTCAGAAATCTGGTTGTGGATCAACAGGCTTTTCGGATCAACTTTCCCCATAAAGATTGGAAGGAATGGTGACTGGGTAAAAAATCCAGAGTAACCAATAAATATCACTGATTGCCTACCATCTTACTATTTCATATGTGATAGTTATCCCTACAAGCCCTTATGACCTCTCATGAAGATATGTGTGTGTGTGTATATATATATATATATATATTTATATATATTACATATGCAGGTTTACTACTTAGCCTGCATGTCTATACATGTACACATAGGTTGTATTGGATCATTTTTATATCTCTTTATGCTCAGAGAACATGATTGCTTTCAAATAAAATTCAGATAAGCTGTTATACTCTTTCTTTGTATTTACTGCGTTCATCTGTACTGCTGTTTCAGTTCCACTCTAGATTATGTGGGTCGCTTGGTTCAAGGTGACAACTGCTTCCCTCGGTATTTCATAGGCTACAACCAGAACCACTGATAGGACTGGGGGGGACAAAATTTGGGTGGCTCAAGTCAGGTGGAGGGTCCTCGAAGCCAGCCTCATGCTGCATCCAGCTGAAGTCTTTTAGGGATGGGCACAAACCTCACGACGAGCCAAAATTCAGGCCAAAATTTGTCTGGATCAGCACTCAGGACATGACGTTTCCCTGGGGGGAGGGGTTATGAGGAGTGGGGGGGTTATATGAGGGTGCCAGAAGAAGTCCCATCACTGTCCTCAACCAAAGGCCCAGCGGAACATCTCTGCCTTACATCGCCACCGCCCCCCCCCCAACACCCCCAGTGTGCCCATGTCGCTTCCAGGTGACGTTTATTTCTGGCAATGTTGTTGGGGGGGGGGGGTTCTCCCACCAGCTAGTTGGCTGGTGGTCAGCCCGAGCCTGCAAAACCAGGAGATTCCCCCGCCCCCAATTGGGGAATGGCAACCTTACCGTTGAAACCAATGGGCTAGGATTGCTCTGCCTGTTTCCAAAGACAAGATGTATTCTAGTACAATGTACAGCACAAGTGAAACAATAGCATGAACGGTCCAATCACGAGTGGTGTGGACCACTCCAAATACTGACAGATTTGCAAAGTAGGATAAATATGAAAAGTGTAGATACGGAGAAATCATAACTGACTGAGTTCAAGTCTGACAGTGTCAAAACAGCATTGGAATTCCTGCTGAGCAGTAGTATATGCCAAGCTGGTAGGCTGCACAGGCAGGCATGGCCCTCTTTTCAGGCTATACTACTTGTTACATATTGACTGAGGAAGGACTAAAGCATTTATTCCGTAAAGTGAATGATTTCCCCAGACTTGTTTTATCCACCACCACGTACGGAGGTGTGTGTGCAAGGAAGAAGGTTTCTAATAATGTGTAACAGGAGGTTAACTCTCAGGGCTATTTTGGGGCAGGAACGCACAGGAATGGAGTTCCGGCTGGCTCCAGAGTTGGCCACACCCACTACAGCCAAAACCTCTGCGTGCACGGCTACAGAGGGAAGGCCTGGAGAGCAACACCCTCCCCGGAGACTCCAAGGCGGGCAGGCTGGGGGGGTCCCTGGAAGGACCAGGGAAGCATTTAAATGTCTCCCCATGCCTTCCCTGGTCTGTCCAAGGGCCGGCTTGCCCGGGCGCGGGACAGCTATGGGGCGCCTGGGCAAGCCAATGGAAGGCAGTTTAAACTGCCTTCCCTTCAAGGGGAGGGCTTGCCCGGGCAAGCCAAGGGAAGGCATGGGGTGTGGCCTAATATGCTAATAAGTTGTACTGTCGGGGTGTGGCCAAATATGCTAATGAGATTCTGCAGTTGGGTGTGGCCTATTATGCTAATGAGTTCCTGCTGGGCTTTTTCTACCAAAAAACCCCTGTTAACTCTAGATATGTTACTGGAGATGACACCCTAGTAGGTTTGTCTGTATGCTGAGGGAAGGGGAAATGATCACGTGCAGGTAAAAAAAAAAGCGCTAAGTCTTCACATTTGGTACATGATAATTTGCTCCAAGCAGCTTTTTTGCTCTCAAACCAACAGAATTAAGAGAGCCCAGACATGGCTGTGTGCTACAAATGCACCTGCAGCAAGAGATATTCTGGAAGAATCCCCTGTCTTGCTACATGTTTGTGAGATACACAAGATCAAATTGGTCCTGCTATGGGCCAATCCCAGAGCAAGGTTTATTTATTTAAATATTTGTTACTTATTCAGGATATTTCTATGCCACCTCTTCAGACTCCTGCATACAATTAACATAATGTGTTGGTATAAAACAGCAAGCCATTGAACATAAACAGCATTTTAAAAATCCATAAAATAGACCTCAGACCAGAAGCAGAACCCTTAAAAAGATGGTAAGACAATACCAATAATTAAAACCCCTTCCTCCAAGAAGAGAAGAACCTTCCTCTCATCCATTTCATCCTCACAACAACCCTGTGAGTCATGGATTTGAAACCAGGCCTCCTCAGTTGTCATCTGGCAGAGCCACCACCAGTGTTCCCTCTAAGCTGAGTTAGTGTGAGCTAGCTCACATTTTTTAGCCTCTGGCTCACACATTTTTGTCTTAGCTCAGGAACGATGGCCCAAAGCAAACTAATTTATGCAGCAGCCAAATCGTTCGCTCTCAACTTTAATGCCAGTAGCTCACAAAGTAGAATTTTTGCTCACAAGACCCCACAGCTTAGAGGGAACATTGGCCACCACACTGGCTGTGTACATACAAGAGCTACTACAGTGGCAGCCAGTCCAAATATGAAGTTTGACTATGGAGTAAAAACAAAGCCTGAGGAAATTACATATAAATGAATGATTCCAAATAAGTTTGCTAGTGTTCAGTACAACAAATCTGTGCAATTCCCCTATGTGTTTAATGGGATTATGGGCTAAGCAATTTATTTTCTCTCTGTTCTCTATCCCTGACTTAGATCAGCTTCATCAGCTACTACTGTATTAGGTAGCCCAATATATGAAATTCTAAACCACACTTTTTCACTGACATCCATGATTGTATAAAAAGTGGCTATTTGTGGTCTTTATTCAATTTACATGTGTCTTTTGAAAATACTAATGGTTTTCATATTCTGATGTTCATGGGAAAACATCACACATTTTGGACATCAGGATTATTTCTTGTAAAGGCCAAGAGATGTTCCTAGCCTCTTAAATGAATTAAGCATTACAGGGACAAAAGAAAAGGACAAAATCAGCTCCCCTCATGAGAACAGATTTAAAATCTGAGACAGAATAACCATTGTTTTAAATAGCACAATAACAATATCCAAAACCCTAAGTAATACAGTAGGGAACTCACCAAATTTATTATATTTGTTTTAATAGACCAGTTCTTAAAGTTGTTATTGTTTAATTTTAATAAGGTAATGATTAATTGCTAAGTATTTCAAATTAGTTGAAGGATTCTGAGGCATCTCTACAAATTCAATCACGTTTTGCTAGATGGCCACCTAATATAGCCTTGTTAATATAATTTTCCTGTTGACTACTGGCCACGTGCATTGCTTGATTAAATTAGGGTCAGTCTGCTGAATGAGGATGCACAGGTTTAATTTCTACCCTTCCCAACGGGATTTGTTTATTTAATTTCCTGTAACATTCGGGGGGGGGGGATTTTTGTGCGTTATAATATACTCTCTCATAGCACTATTTTCTTCAAGCCATACAAAAGATGGTTTGTATCTGTTAGATACGAGACTCGAGGCAGCAGGTGAACAGTGATAACAGCTTTATTGAACACGAAGTCAGAAGAACCAGAACGAGACAAACAACGGAGCAACAGGCTCCTTTTTAAACAGTCCGGGCTTGGCAAGCCACGCCCACATGTCAGATGGTAACCAATCAGAAACTGTACATAAAGACCAATCACTTTGCTTCCCTCCAGAACTTCCTTTGTTCTGATAGGTCGGTTTGCGATACCTTGGTCAGACTCAAGCTCAATACCTTCATACATTATATTACATACACAACAATCCTCCCCCCTAAGACGAGACAACCCTTGAACAGTCATAATCTTTCAAGAAAGCAGGACACTGCTTGACCCGTTGGGATCGTCTGATATTTACCGTTGGTGGGGTAGGAGGAAGAGCTTCGGGCTCCCTGTGAGTGAGCTCGGTCTCATTCCTTATGGGACTGAGTGTCCGAGGCTGATTGCCATAGTCGTGGCTCTGCTTGCCCTCGACTATGCCTGAGGGTTTCAGTGCTTGGAAGCCCTCAGCCCGTTCGGAGTCCGGACTCTACCTGACTTTCCTGACTGAGTCAGGTACATTGGCCACCTGGGGAAGGGAATCAGGGACTGAGTCAGCCCACCGCTTGCGCAACTGATTGACATGGCGCTTCATTACTCTACCATCATTAATTTTTACCGTGTAATGGCGGGACCTGAGGACATGGGTTACTGTGCCTGGTAACCACTTGTGTCCGCTACCATAGTTTTTAGCATACACACATTCACCTTCAGTAAACACCCTGGGTTGTTCAGTGGACTCACTGTTTGGCGGCCTGGCTGAAGTTAAGTCCGGGTGCATACGATCTAACAATGTGGTAAGGCGTCGGCCCATTAGCAGCTCCGCCGGACTCTGCCCCGTCACAGAGTGCGGCGTGACGTGCTGGTGCAGTAAGAAGGACGCCACCTTCTGGCCCCAGTTTCCCTGCACCAAACGGCCCAAAGTCTTCTTTGTGGTCCGCACCATTCTCTCGGCCTGCCCGTTGGTTGCTGGGTGGAATGGTGCGGACGTGCTATGGGTTATGAGGTTTGCCGCCAAAAACTCCTTAAATTCAGTGGCCGTAAAGCATGTCCCATTGTCGGACACCAGAGTGTCTGGCAACCCGTGCGTTGCAAACAGTTTACGCAATACATTGATTACAGTCAACGCAGT